TATAACCTTTTGACCCTCTAAAATTTTATTTTATTTCGCGTAAAAAATAAAACTCTCTTTTAATACCAATATTTCATGAATGTTTTAAAACATTATGCACGATCCATATTCATAGATCATAATAAATTTAGGACATGATCCTATGTAATAGAATTTAAATTACATCTAATTATACTTTTGTCATCAATTTTTTCAAATATTTCTTTAAATTTTAAACAGTCCTCACCTTGTGTAATTTTATGATTTTTAAATTTAATTAATTTATGAAAAAAAAATTAAATTTATATTAAGTATTTTATTTTATTATTAATATTTTTTAGGGGTTGTGGGCCACAGGATTAGGGTCTGCAGATAGCAAAATACGTATAGAACTCTTTTATTATTATTTATTATTATTTAATGTTTTCCAGTATCGCCAAAATCAAAAGATGGGCCCACACTGGTAATTATTAACTGTAATTTTCTTTTTCTTATTATTTCGATTTTTAAAAAAAAGAAAATAGCCAAAATAAAATATTTTACGAAATGATGTCATCCTAACTCAATATTTTCTGATTATCGGAGGTCTTCCACGGAAGTTGCTTTCAACCTGGCGTTGGGGTCAACCTACTATCATACCTTCCCCTTACTCCAGTGCATATGGGAATCAGGGTTTTATTGTTGTTGTTGTTGTTGTCATTGTTCAACCTACGAGTCTTCGCCCATTTCGGGCTCTGTCGCTTACGTTTTTCTGGTAACTTAAAATTTAGTATTAAAATTATTTATTTTAGTTTATTTTAGTATTTAAATATTTTTACCTTTTAGAAATCATGTTTAATATTTAATTTATCTTATTTAAGTATTTTTCGTTAAAAATTTAATGTCATTATTATTTAAATTATCAATTTTAATCTGTTTTAATATTTAAAATTTCAGTTTTATTAAAAATTAACGTTAAATTTTGAACGAATATATTAAAATGAAACAACCAAAATAAAATGTGGGACATGAGCAGCTGGGTCAAAGCCCGAGGCTACTTTGAATTAAAAACTGCAATTTTGACATTGGACTATGAAGCCCAAATCCTGAAGTAAACTTTGTTGGTGCCAATTATGGGCAAAATTGGCCCAATATCATTCGCGGACTTATTATTTAGCTCAATAAAGTACCAAACAAATTATTTAGGGATTTACAGTAAACGTTATAATACAGGAAAACTTGTAACGTGACGAGTTTTAATAAAAAAAATTATTTAAATTTTCACTCTGATGTGACAAATTCTAACAATAAATTGTATTTTATTTAAATTCATCAAGCTGACGTGACGAGTTTTCCCTACACTGTAATATTTACGGTAGATCCCAAAATAATTTTAAAGATGGCCTAAAAGGCTAAATATTTAACCTACTGGCCGGTTGGGTGAATTTCTCCGCCAATTATGCCATTTTTACTCCGAATAAATTGTAGATTAGAGATGTTAATCGGATAACACAAAGATATAATGTTTCTTTTGCATTTATTTCATCATATAATTTGTATTTATGCGCGAATCAAATTATCTCATTGAATAAATGAATATGTATTATTTTTACATGTCTCGAGTTCGAACACCAATAACTATAGTAGAGGTGATTAAGCGCTCGTTGCCAAATAGTTAAGAGTGTTTGTTCTTTTTATAATCGCGCTGGTTTAATAAAAAGAATTATTTCTATTATTATCTAATTGCCCGTCCAGCTTAGTTGGTAGAGCGCAAGACTCTTAACCTTGTGGTCGTGGGATCAAGTCCCACGGTGGGCAATTCATAATTGCCGGAGGTCTTCCACGGAAGTTGCTCTCAACCTAGCATTGGGGCAGCCTACTACCATACGTCCCCTTTACGGCCTTACCCCATTACATATGGGAATAAAGTCAGCTAAAAATTTCTATTATTATCTTACAATTTATTACGGATATAAAATTTAAAATTATTTTCATTTTCAGTTTGTTACGTTCATTCTACGATCTATTTTATATAATACATCTATAAACATCAACTAAATAAAATAAAAATCAATTATTTTATAAAAAATATAAAATACATATCTTTTGAATTTCATCGCATATATGACATTATTTTGATACCACTGTCCTGACAATATAGTGTAATGTCAGTTCGATTAATTTATCATACCAATATTTTATTATTTTTAATAAAATCATTGTAATAGTTAATTACGAGGGATCAATTTATTATAAATCGATAATATAAATAATTAAATTATTAATTTTAAAATATTAGGATGAAAAAAAAGAATTTTTCTTAAATATCAGTCGGTTTACCCTAGTTTTAATCACGTGATTGAAACAATCTGTTATCCAAAAATGTGACAGAAGCCGGCAAAAGCTTTATTCTGGGAAAGAGCAAAAGACTTTAACAAAACTGTACTTTCAAAAGCCTGGAATTCTTGGAGAGTCCAGAGAAAGTAAGACTAATTTAAGTTTAAGAAAAAAAAGTTATAATAATTATAATATTTTTAATTGAATTTAATCTGAATTATTAACTTTTTATTTAATATTTTGGACAGTTTGAGTGTAATATATAGTTCTTAACGTTAAATTAGATTATTCTACGACAGAGCTACCTGAATTCCAGTATATGTATATCTCTAATGTAGGGGTAAGCTTGGCTTACTAAATAAAATAAAGCATCAGCGGGAACAGGAAGGATCTGTTATTCTTCTTGCATCTACCTTTATTTGTTAAAGGAGGAGGATTCCATTAAAGAGAATAATGAAGCTTAAACAACTATAAAGCCTCTTAGGCGATCTTCAACAATTCTCAAACCCGAAGGTCTTCTCTTCCTCATTAAAAAAACCCCCAGAATTTCTTCATCATGAAGTTGTTATCGAATCAGTTTTTGGTGGATTATTTGATTTATTCAATGCAGGTGGAGCTCGAACAGTACACTACTGGCCCTCACATCGCTTCTCGCTTGCTTTACACTGTATGAACTATTTTTTTTTTCTCTTTTTGGGGCTGCATCTTCTCGTGCTAAAGGCTAGTTGTGTATTGAAATTCTCTTTTTGTTTAATTGTTTTTGGGGGTTTTTTTAGGCTGAGAATTCATTTGATGATATTAGCGACAAGGTGGTGGCGGATTTTGGTTGTGGATGTGGCACTCTGGGCGCTGCTGCTGCTCTCTTGGGTGCTAAGTAAAACCCATTTTCTCTTTGTTGATTCCTTGGCCTGAATCCGTGCTTTTTGCATTGATATGGACGTTTTTGTTTGCTTTGGATTAGGCAGGTTATTGGCATTGATATCGATTCTCAATCTCTTGAAACAGCTTCTATGAATGCACTAGATCTTGAGGTGCTTTTCCTTTTTGTTGATTTTGATGTAATGTTAAGTCTATAGATTTTATCAACTATTTTAACATCTGTTTCTACTTTACCTGTTATCCATGATGAGATTCACTTGCTAGTTAATTTTGTGCTATTCGCTTTGCGATTTGCTTGTTTCGTGATGTCTTCCTTGTGTTTGCTTTCGTAATTGAACTGCAGCTGGACATAGATCTTATTGTGTGACATCAGTAACATAGGATGGAGAGGTAACAGTTTCCTTTCCTTCCCTTTCCCTATCTATCCTATGTCTTCGGAACTGTAACATAATCGCGATAGTTGATTTTTCCCGAAAAATTACCGGACATTACGATACTGATATGGACAAGCTATCCTCTTTAAGCTATGTAATCAAGGGTTAGTCGTTTGCAGGCGTTGTTTGTCTTGCACATTGGAATAATTTGGGTGAACAAATATACGGGAAGTGTATAGCTAGTCATTTTCATGCTTAGACTTATCGGGGCATGGCTGATTTGCTCTTAAGATAATTCAACTTGTTTCATCTCTGACTTCAATATATATTTATGTTGAAGATGCACTATAAATTGAATGTGTTTGTTACTTTCTGGCAACTATGCCATGTGTTTGTTACTAGTCGAATACAAGTCTAGCTTTTCTGTGTGTGCTACTCTGTAGTTCTCTCCGCTCGATAGAGTCCGAAGTTATCACCTTATCATGGGAGAGTCTCGGTTTCCTCTTATCTTTACTTATTGGTTATGTTTGTACGATCAAAACCGACTTTTTTTTTACTTACATATAGCGACGTTATTCGTCTGATCGAGTTGTCTCGTGTTGTCTGTTTCTTTTAATGCAAAGAAGTTTCAGTTGCCTTGAGGAACTTATATGCAAGCAGTGCAGAGGTCCTGTGTGAGGTAAGTAAAAAGAAGCTTCACAATCCGATGGCGTTTCGTTTTCGAACCACAAAATGGTTGCCATTGCACTGTCGACTTGCCGTTATTCTATTTTTCATCGAACATTGCCATCTTTCTCTTATTCGTCTCCTCTTATCCCAACCCTACTCCCCCCGTTTCATCTCCAGCTTCCGTTTTGACGTCTCTAAACTATACAAACTCCACAAGAAAAAGGCGGTGGATGTTGCCGTGGATCTCTGGCGATTCGTCCCCAATCGCAGTCCGAAAAAGACGATTAATCATCGGAGTTCAGTTTAAGACCATAGTTAAAGATAGATTGTTTATTTCTACTACGTTAATTTAAGACACTTTGGTCAAATCTCTATATTTCAGCTTCCTAGTCTGAAAGTCCTGAAACAGGCATTTTGGTCAAAGCAGGTGGATATTGCCGAGGATGACAACATAACACGTCATTTTATTGAGAGATTAAATTTATCAAAATATTTAGAGTTAGGATGAGGACCAAATTGAAATGGTTTGTAAATATTGAGGGTTAAATTTATTAAATTATTTTAAATAAGTATCGAATTCCTAATGTTTTTGAAAGGTCTAATTGATAATTTTTTAAATTTGATGATCAAAATAAAAGTGCCCTTATAGTTTAATGATTATCTGGGTATTTTACCCTAAACTAATTTGATTTATTCTGTGTTTTCATTTTGCAAAAATATATTGAAGAAGAAACAACTTTCATCTTACAAAATAAAACACTAAGCTTTAATGGCCATTTATGAAGGCCACTACAAAGAAAACTTCGCTTAAACACAACAAAAAATTACCTGATTATCCTCTCGTCCAAAATTAGTTCCTACCTCCATTTACCCAAAATGCTCCACGCTGTTGACAATGGAAGTTCCGACGATTTCCGCTCTCATGCTTCAGTTACCGTTATAGTATCTCCGGTTGTCTCGCCAAGTGTAAACCGAACAAACCTTCGAACTTTTATGTTCTCTCCTAGAGCTGCAACGGTTTGCTTTACCAAGTCTTTAACCAACAGGCTGTCGTCCTTGACGAAGGGCTGTTCCAATAGGGCAAGCTCTCCGAGCCTCTTCGAGACCCTCCCTTCAACGATTTTCTCTCTGATGTTCTCTGGTTTTGACGCGAGGTCGTCTCTTTGCATCTCAAGCTCTTTTTCTTTACTCACGATGCTCTCCGGGATGTCTTCGATGGATACAAACTGCACCTGGGGACAGGCCACAACTTGCATTGCTAGGTCATCGACCAACTCTTTGAACTTTTCACTTCTACCAACAAAGTCAGTCTCACAGTTGACTTCGATTAGGACACCGATCCTCGAGTCGTGAATGTAGGCACCGATTCGGCCTTCAGCAGCAAGCCGGCTGGATTTCTTGTCAGCAGTTGAAAGGCCTTTCTTTCTGAGGTATTCCTGAGCCTTCTGGATATCGCCTCCAGTTTCAGCCAGTGCTTTCTTGCAGTCCATCATCCCGGCTCCTGTTTCTTCACGTAGTTGTTTAACAAGTGCGGCGGCGACTGCCACTTTGGGTCTGCAAAAGAGAAACGGGTGTATATAAACCGTGAAAGAAATGACATCGTATTAGTTACAAATGAGAACCCATGGAAAACCACCACTTACTTCTCATCGGCTTCCTTGACTTCCACTGGAGTCGATTGCTCTTTTCCAGCAGTGGAAACGGGTTTTGCGGCAGTTTGGGCAGCCACTTCCGCAGCAAAATCCTGACTTTTCTTCTCTAGTCCCTCTCCAAGATTGAACCTCACAAACCTTTTCACTTTTATATTTTCTCCAATGGTTGCAATTGTCTGCTTTACCCAATCTTTCACCACCATCTTATCATTCTTAATATAGGGCTGCTCGAGTAAAGACAACTCTTCAAGCCTCTTCCGTATCCGTCCGTCAACAATCTTTGATCTAATTAGCTCTGGTTTCGATAAGAGATCTTCCTTTTGCATCTCTATTTCTTTTTCCTTGTTTACAACCTCCTCGGGAACTTCTTCTGGAACGAGATATTGTACTTGAGGGAAAGCAGCGACCTGCATGGCAAGATCATCGACAAGTTCCTTAAAAGTGTCACCCCGTGAGACAAAATCGGTCTCGCAGTTAACCTCTACTAGGACACCGATCCTGCTATCGTGAATGTAAGAACCTATTCTTCCTTCAGCTGTGGCTCGACTGGCTTTTTTATCCGCATTTGCCAAGCCTTTCTTGCGGAGAAATTCCTGAGCTTTAACAATGTCCCCTCCGGTCTCCGAAAGCGCTTTCTTGCAATCCATCATTCCTGCTCCCGTTTCTTCACGGAGCTGCTTTACTAAAGCTGGAGATATAGTTGCTGCTGTTCATGCATACAAATCAAAAACAGGAGAATGCATCATAAACGTATTAAAAATATAACAATCATAAATGTTTCAAAAGTTCCCATTTCATATTAGAGTTCGATTCAAAAGTTTGTAAGAGACATTCAATATGCATAAAAACTGCCAAAATGGATGAAGTACAAACCTTTAGTCTCATTTTCCTTGGGCGTAGTGCCATTTGAATCGGTAACCTCATCGTTCTTTTGAGATGCAGGGTCTGCCTCTTCAACTTCTGAAGTAGGAGTAGTTTCACCCTCAGAAACCGGTCTCTCTATCTGCGCTTCCTCCTTCATGTCCTCAGATGGATTCTCTTCTTCAACTGCTTCACTTCCCAAAGACTTAATCTGATTATCAGTCGATTCTTGAGAAGGATCAGGAGAAAATGTTGTCTCTATCTGCACATCTTCCTTGGTATCCTCAGATTGATTCTCTTTTTCTTCAACTGCTTCAATTCCCGAAGACTTAATCTGATCATCAGCCGATTCTTGAGACGGATCAGGACTTGCATTGTTTTCCACTGTATCTGCACAAAATCAGCAATAGGAAACTGTAATAAACCATATCCCCTTTTTCCCTTGAACATTTTTTTCTTCACAAAAACATATCACAAGTCATTGGTATGAATTCCTCGAAAATAGGTTTGCTATCAGTGTCATGATTATCGTACCATCGGCATCTTTGGTATCAGCAAGATCTGGTTGTACATCTGTGCTGGCAACACTGCCTTTTTCATCCGAAATAGTTGCAGAGGGAGTTTTATACTCATCAAGAGGTGTTTCGACTTGTTCATCAGGAATACTTCCAGTTTCTTCATCTTCAACTGATGCAGCAGCCGGAGTTTGATCCTCGGCTATGGGTACTTCCTCTTGTACTACATCTTTTGCTGTAGAATCTGCATCAATTAAATTTTCAGATGTCACTTGATCAACGACTTCAGATGATCCAGCTGTTTCATCGGTTTCGACCACATCCACTAATGGAACTTCCAAACTACTTTCCGGAGACAAAGCTTCAACACTGTTGCCTTTTTCCTTCTCCGTGGTTTCCTCGTCCTTGTTTGCAATATCAGCTACCGTATCTGTTTCCTTTTCAACCATTTCATCCGCTGCAGTAGAGGCAGTGGTTGTCTCCTTATCGACCGCTGATGGTTGAACCTCTAATTTCTCTGACTTTTCTCTCTGATCCAAGAATGCAGCAATCTCCTTGTTCTGACGAAAAGCCAGCATAAAGGGATTTGCTGCAGTATACACCACACCTTGGGTAACCTGTGAGTCCGACTTGTCATCGTCCTCTTCTTTCTTCATCGTCAAGGTTACTGATCCTCTTGTGATGCGTAAAACACGGACTTTGACTTCTTGGCCAATTTGCAGCGATGAGTTCCCCATCATGCTCATAAGTCCGTCATCAGATTCTTCTTCGTGGGGCAAGAATCCTTCTTCTCCCTCAGGAAGGGATATGAATGCGCCAGACCTAGCTAAATTCTTCACCGTGCCATCCAACTCTTGTCCCTTGACGAATTTTGAGCTTTTCACATCCCTTTTCTGGCTGGACCTGGAAGTGTTCTTCCTTGGAGACCTTTCCCTATCAGTAGTGGCAGGACCATCTTTCCGTGGCTGGCGCTTACCAGATTCATCGTTTTCACGCATGGAAAGAGAGATCCTCCCGCTCTCATTGTTTACTTCAACTAACCTCACCTTCACCTCTTGCCCAACAGAAACAACACTTGCAACATCCTTAACAAAGCTATCACTCAACTGGGAAACATGGACCAGTCCTTCCGTGAAAGCTCCAATGTCAACAAAAGCACCGAATGGTTGGATCGATCTTACTTTCCCAGTGAACATTGCACCAGGAATAAGCTCCTCATTCTTTACAGGTGGCATCTCACTTTTTCTCACAGGTCTTGTTCTTTTTGATTGAGCTGGAGCAGATGAAGAATCGGGTTGGCTAGTAGATTGTTCGCTTGTTTCAACTGCATCTGGTTGTGTTTCTGATCCTCCATCGGAAACTTTCGTCACAGAAGAACCTGATTCCTCCACTGCTACATCAGTCCCTGTGGCTGATAAACGAATTCCCAGTTTTCCATGTAAGGCATGCCCCGTCCTGTAGTTTCGAAATGGACTAAAGGAGGTTGATAGAGGTAAGATGAATCTTTGTGAGGGTAAGGCATATCGTGTGTTTTTCCTTGATGAACTGCATCTTGTAAAACTAGTGTTCTTCCGTACTGTACATGCAGCACCAGGAACGAATGTAATGTTGCTAACGGAAAACGGGATCACTGGAATCATGCTGACTTGAATGAAAACGTTTAAGGTACAGTCTACGCTAAAATAAGAGTTCCATTTGTATCTTCACCTGCAAGAACATGAATGACGAGCTGAAAAACATGAATTTCTCGAGTCAGTGATAAGGCATGATATGTCCAAGCACCGATCGTGCTCAAACCAATGTGGATAACATCAAAAGATCATGCAAATCTAAGTTTCACATTCAACTAAGAGCTTGATATGCCAATCGTACTTGGTTGTTCGAGTACATTAGCCGTTTTCAGAAAATACATCATGTTCCGAACTCGAAAACTTGTGGATTTAGCTGATGATCCATGTTTATTTTATATATTTCACAAGTCATTGAGGATTCAACATTTCAAATAGCTTGATTACAAGTTATCAAACAAACAATTCTCCGCCTACTTAGCCGAAACAACAAATTCAAAGCTGCAACACCGGTATAACTGTTCATCAATCATCTAACTGTTCTAGCAGCCGAGAAAAACCTTCATATTCAAGTTAAGCTAATAAAATCAACTACAAACAAAAAGAAAGATTTCAAAGAAAAGAAACAGTATCCAAACTATAACATTGTGCATTCGAACAACATTCTCGGACCGAGCAAAAGGGAAGCACTTATCAATTATCAATAAGCAATTCTTATATAAACAACCAATAATATACTTGGATGAAAACTTGCCAAATTCTAGCTTAATGCCACAGTTAATGTTAGAAAACCCAATATTTCCTTCCCAATTGAATAAACAAGCAGAGCATATTTCATAACCAAAACACCATTAAAATTCAAACATGGCATGAGTCTAGGTAAAGAGAATTGAAAAAAATGGAAGATTAACAACAACCCAGAATTCATAAGTGGAAGGAAATGAAAAGGTAAGTTGAAAAACAATGACCCATTAGCTTGTAAGCAAGGAAAACTTATACCTTTTCTAAGAGAGAAAATTTTCTGGGAAAAAAGTTTGAGAATGAACTGAAAACGCTAGTCCTCAGTTGAAGAAGAACGAAAGGTGGGGCTTAAAATCCTTATCTTTGGTTTTCCTTCGTGGATAATTTCATAAAAAAGAATAAACACGATGAAGATGATGGGCTCATCTTGCCTACAAGATTTATTCTCATCCTTTAGTTTTTTGATCGGTGAAGATGGACTTGCACTGGTTTGGACCAAAGACAATAACCCATAGCATTTGTATTAGATACGAATCGCCTTGGACCTCAAATCCTGTATATTTTACCTTTAGACCTTAAATTTTACCCTTGGATATATATGATGAAATAATCCAAATTGTTTATGGTTATGGATGGATCTAGGAGTGTTAGAGATGATTATATCTCTTAAAAACTTTAATTTTTATTTAATTTAGATATTTTTTAACGTATTTTATTGATGATCTAATTTTCTATTCTTAAAATCTTATAATTTCATATATTTTAAAATTTTACATCTCTTGACATTGAATCATTTGTCTGTTTATAAGGCCACTAATCCCATTTTTTATATATAGGTAAATATCAAATCAGACTCCTAATTTTAGTTTATTTTGATTTTATTTCTTATTTTTATAATTAACTGTACTTTATTTTTATTTTATATGATTAGTTATACTTTATCTCTTTGAACTGATAATGTAGCGATGTCACCATATGAGTATATATATATATATATATATATATATATATATATATATATATATATATATATATATATGTATATGCATATTAGGTTAAATTATGTGTTTAGTGCCTAAATTATTAGTTTTAGTCTGTTTTAGTACCTAAACTTGCATGTTTTTCAAAATCATGCCTAAAGTTTAGTTTTTGTTTCATTTTAGTACCCCTCATTCAAAATGTAACATTAAGTTTTGAAAAAAATTGAAAGTTTAAGTACTAAAATAGGCCAAAACTGATAGTTTAGGTACTAGACGCGTTAAGTTTTTAAGGATACTAAAATGAAATGAAAACTAGACATTAGGTAGGTTTTAAAAAATGAAAAATTTAAGTAATAAAATGTAGGGGTGTTCAAATAACCGAACTAATTCGGTTAACCGACCGAACCGAATTAGTTCAGTTAATTTGGTCGGCCACCGAATTAGTTCGGTCGGTTAACGGTTAAGAAAATTTTTAGAATTCGGTTAACGGTTAATTCGGTTCGAAATCGGTTAATTAACCGAATTACCCGAAATTAAATTTTAAATATTAAATATATTTATATATAACATATGGGTTTTGCCCAAACCATTTAAAACTCAATTAATAATTTAAGATCCAATAACTTTTAAGCCTAAATCAATATTAATTAATTAAAAATTTTATATAAAATTTTTATTTTATAATTATATATTATTTAAATTAATTGCAAACTGTTTTTTTGAATTAAAAAATATTAAATATTATATATAACATATGAGCTCAGCCCAAACTATTTAAAATCCAATTAATAATTTAAGATCCAATAACTTTTAAACATAAATTAATATTAATTAATTAAAAAAATTATCTAAAATTTTTATTTTATAATTATATATTATTTAAATTAATTATAAACTTTTTTTGAATTAAAAATATTTAATTTTTATATAAATTATAAAATTTTAAAAAAATTCGGTTAATTTGAAAATTAACCGAATTAACCGAAATTTATTCGGTTCAGTTAATATTTTCGAAAAAAAAAGTCCGGTTCAATTAACAATTAAAGAAAAAAAAAGTTTGATTAATTCGGTTAATGGTAATTCGGTTCGATTCGATTTTAACCGAATGAACAACCTTACTAAAACGGATCAAACTTGATAATTTAAATATTAAATACATAGTTTACCCGATATATTATTATCTCACTCCTTTATATAATAAACTATGATATGGTAAAGAGCATCAAAAGTTGAAGGTGATCTCATAAAAAGTATTATATATATTGGTAATTGGCCACATGCATGCATGCAAGGTAGCTAGCTAAAATAGGCTTTTTCTTTTGCAACTTAAAAAAGCCAGCTTTTAAGGTTTGGCAGCTGAAACATAAACCAAATCCCCCCCCTTCACTCATTCATCAATAATAAACTAATAATGTAAAAGCATGGGCAAAATTTTGCATATGCGTACGAGTCATGACCTCATACGGGCTGTAAGTGAGACGAGACAGATTGCGAGCTACTCGAGATCGACTCGATTAAGGTTCGATAAATACTTGGATCGAATGGATTCGACTCGAGCTCGAGCTCGACTCGAGTTCTTAACGAGCCGAAACGAGCTACTCGATATTTGACTTGAAAAGCTCCTGAGCAACTCGAAAATATAATATATTAAGATTTTATTTTTTTAGAAAATAAATTATTTATAATATTAATATTTATGTATTGATTTTTTTTTAAAAATACAGTAAGATTTTTATGTATTTAAGGTTCATGTTCGAGTTTGAAGCTTCAATCGAGTTAAGTTTAAGAATTTTTTTTTTCATTTCGAGCCTTTTCGAGCTGCTCACGAGCTTCAGTTCAGGATTTCGAGTTCGAGTCGAGCTTGAAAATTTTAAGCTCGCGAGTTTTCGAGTCGAGTCGAGCTCAAGCGCTCGACTCTGCTCGTTTACACCCCTACTTTCGTAATACTCCAACAACATACCATACATTAGTATAATTTATCTCTGTGTATGATTCTTTTTATAAGTTCGAGACGTGAATGAGATTATATCTGTTTAATTTTTTTAGCTATTTGACAATAAATATTCCTACATCTATGTATATACGATGTTTGAATCTAAAATCTTAAGAGATAACGATAATCTTAAACCAAAAGATATAATTGATCATTTTTGGATTTCTAAATCAAACAACATCAGAGAATCATATCCATGATAGATCATGAGAGCACTGGGGATGTTGGTTTTATACTTCAATGATAGATCACCATTGAGCTTCTATTTGCATATAAAAAATAAGAAAATTATTGAATGAAATTAAATATTTTTCAATCAAATTTCAAATTTAAATCCTATGGATAAGAAAATGTAACTTTGAAAGAATTTTTTTTGTTTTAAAAATTTAATTTGATTCGAATTTGAATATAACATGATTCGATAAGATCGATCAGACACCGAAGATTTTAGAAGGAAAAAAAAGAGCAGCATCTTTCATCATGTGGTAAGGATCTCTCCTGGATGTTTCCAAGGAAACCTCTTAAGCAAATTTTCCAGTTGTATTCTCCAGAGATTATTATTAGGGTAAACTATACATTTAGTACTTAAATTATTAGTTTTGATATGTTTTTGTACCTAAACTTTCAATTTTTTTCAAATGCATTCATAACGTTTAGTTTTTATCTCATTTTAATACCCGTCGCTAAAACCTTAATGCGTTTAATACCTAAACTCACTGGCGGTGGATGTACATGGCCTCTGCCCACCCTGAATTTTTTATTTGAAATTCAATTTTTTTCGATTAATTATTGAGTTTATTTATTGTGTTCACCCTGAATTTTTATAGTGCCCACCCTGAAACGTTATCCTACTCATCCACATACAAAAATTTTATATTATAGATATATATGTGGACTCGCCCTCAATTGTTTTTAGATCCACCACTACCTAAATTATTAGTTTTGATCCGTTTTAGTACCTAAACTTTTATTATTATTTTTTTCAAAATTTAACGTTAAATTTTGAACGAGTACTAAAATAAAACAATAACTAAACTTTATGTATGATTTTGAAAAAAAAACATTTGAGTACTAAAACGACCAAAACGGGTAGTTTAAATACTAAACACATAATTTACCCTTATTATTTATAATTAATTATTTATGGGATCTTGGACATTACCTAAAGGCTTTTAGTATATATTTCTGATAAAAAAAAGCACATGATCCACCAGTTTTAAACGCTGTACAATTGGTTGAATTATAATATAGCTTTCTACACGTGCGAATATTTTGGATATATTTATAATTCATGCATAATTTGGAGTTGTTGGATTGTGTACACGTGTATTCGTTGAGAATATAATTAAAGATTAAATATTGAAAAAATAAATTAATTAAGTTTAAAATAATAAGATTCATTAAATATTTAATTCCAAAAAAACCG